TCTCTGCCTCTTTTGTTTAAAACGCCAAGATAAAATTCTTGTTGCTTTTCCCTTCTGAATTTCTAACTCTGATTTTTTTTTGCCCCCACAGAGCCGAGAAAACAGAAGTCCTCAATGAAGACTTGTTACAGGTAACACAGTGTCTTTTAAAATGCTCTTTTTAAAAGAAATATAAAGAAAAACTAAATCCGTGGATGAGAATTGGAGCGCGTATCGTTCTTTTGCCTCAGACAGATGAAAATTGACTAGCATGGCTTGGAGCAGGGAAGAAAAGCAATTGAATGGCTTGATGATTTTTTTAAAAAGGGATCTGAAACTTCCGTGTCACGCTGTACTGTTCAAACAGGGTTAGTCCAGCTTTCAACTTGGTGCGGGGGTGGGGGCGCAGGGGCCTGGCCAGCCCAGCCGGTCCACTGGCAGTGTGGCATGGCACTGTCGTCTGCTGCTGTGATGATGTCCTCGAAGGACAGAGCCCTGCCAGCTGGAGCCCAGGGCCCCCCACGTTCTGACCTGGGTCTGTAGTTTCTCACTTCCTCATGCAGCTGTTCTCCACGCCAGGACCCTGGGCCGCGTTCAGTCTTGACAGGCTGCTGCTCCCGTAACCCTGGCTACATAGGTCAGAACTACCTATCCGGAGGCTCTAGGGTGACCTCCATTCTTCAGCTCGGGCTCTTCGGCCCATCCTGGGAGGACATTGGAGCCCTGGTAGCGTCTCGTGATTATGAGTCGGGCTGCTAACCACAAGGTCAACAGTTCGAAACCACCGGCCAGCTCTACTGGAGAAGACAAGGCTTTCTACTCCCGTAAAGAGCTACAGTTATGGAAACTTACAGGGGCAGGTCTACTGTGCCCTGCAGGGTGTCTCTGAGTCAGGATTGGCTCCATAGCAGTGAGTTACAGTAAGGATGTTTTCAGCCAGAGCAACCTGGCTGCTCGCCTTCCCCAACTTGCCAGTCCATCCCTCAATAAGTTTCCTTTGACCCTGGGGCCACTGAGAGTTTTTGGAAGAAAGGGCCTTGGACCCCTTCAGCAAATCGCTTCACTCCATTTCCCTCTCCCACACTTACCCGAACACTTAAAAAAGTTATAATAATAACCCACTGCTATATAGGGTTGTGAGGAGTCTGCATCGACTGGCTGGCAGTGAGTTTGGTTTGGGGCCATAGCGTCAATACCAACTCACAGCTGACCCTTTAGGACAGGCTAGACCTGCCACTGCGGGTTTCCAAGACGGCAGCTTTTTACAGGAGCAGAGAGCCACATCTTTGTCCTGAGAAACAGCTGGTGGTTTCCAACTGTGGACCTTGCAGTTAGCAACCCAACTCGAAGAGCAAAACCTCTTCTGGCACAGAAGTTTCTTTTGAGCAGCTTCACAAGTTGGTTTACATGACCTAGAGCCGGTCTACTCCGGTGAGTCTTTGTAGAGCAGAGCTCTGGTCCCAGGAGACTCTCTGTCTCTCTGCCATAGCTAATAGCACTTCTTACCTGGTTCTTATCCTCTTTGTCAAATTCATTTCAGACTTTCAAAACCACTGTTTGGTCCAGGCAAGCCTTAACTGGACCAGGCTTTGTCATGTCAGCGCTTTCCCTTTCACGCCCCACGTCAGGGATCAGCATGACCTCATGTAACCCGTGGACACAGAGATGAGGACCAGAGGACCTCTGAGGAAGATCCTTTGAGGAGCTAGTGTGCTGCTGGGACGCAGCCTTGCCCCTGCCCGTGTTGGGTTCTGTTCAGATGGCCATGGCCATCTGAAGTCCGTTTCTGGAACGCCTTACGTTATGATTGTTTAATTACATATTTACGGTATATTTATTTACTATTTAAAAATGCAAGCCAGTTGCCACCGAGGTGATTCTGACTCACGGCGGCGACCCCGTGTGTGTCAGAGTAGAGCTGGTGTGCCATGGGGTCTTCAGTGGCTGGTGGTTTGGCAGGAGTTTGCCAGGCCTTTCTTCCAAGGGCTCTGGTGGACTCAGACTACCCAGGGACTCCTGTTTATTATTAAAAAACAGCAGATACTATTAGACTATAATGAATAATAAAATCCGTAAGTTAATTATTTTATAAAAGAAATATCTACATTAGATCTGCCATAACTGCTGTAACTGCATTCCCTCCGAGTTTTGTTGTTTGAAACAGGAAGTAGCAGGAGAGTGGTGTTGAAAAGTGCAGACAGCAGTTCCCTGTCTGGTTCAAAGCAGCAGCCCCGGGCTAGCCAGCTTTGTGGCCCTGGGGGCTTCTTGAACCTCTGGGTGTCTCACTTTCTACTTCCCTAAAGTGAGGGTACTCAGCCCATTGAGTTACTCTGAGCTAAACTTGTAAGACCCTGCGAAGGGAGCCGTTGCACCAGAGGGGCTTTGCTGTTACCGGCACCGCCAATGGTTATTCTGTCTGTGGTGTCAAACTCCCCGCGATTGCCTCAGTGTTCCCCCTCCTTGGACCTCTGTGGCAGCGGGGGCAAATGCTGCCTGTCTGTTTGTTTATTTTTTTGCACGGAGTTTTGTACAAGAGATAGTGAATCCCTGGAGGGCCGGAACCTCAATTTACACACTGCTGTTTCTCTAGTACCTTGCACAGATACTCATTGTGCACTGTCCTCTCAACAGTTGTGATGGGAATAGATGTTGTTCAGGTGCCAGACCTGTTCCAAACCAGCAAAAAAAAAACAACAACCCCCCCCACCACCCCACCACCCCATGTACACACACACACAAAAAAAACCTAAACCCAAACCCTAAAAGAACTATTTTTAAAAACAGCAATCTTGAGTTTAAAAGGTGGAACATTTATTTTGAGTTCTTTCCGACATACCGGCTAAATCAGTGAACAAAGCAGGTCAAGCCCTATCTCTGTGGCGTCCGCATGGTAGTAAAACTTGAAATAGAAATGGAATTGAAAAATAATGTTTTTCTTCTCTTCTTGAGACAAATGAACAATGTGCCTCGGGCTTCAGAAAGTTTGTGGGAAAACGGAATTAAAACACGATTATTTTCCATGAACTTTTTGAAGCCCCCTTGTATTCATTTCCTAATGTTTTAAAATCCGATTCTTGTAAGATATGGGGACAGCAACTTGGCATCTGCTCCTAAACGTGAACTTAGCCGTTTCTCCAAGCCCCGGTGATTGAACTGGGGTCCGAGGAGAAGCAGTTGGTGTGGTGAGGGCTCTGGAGAAGGAGCATGAAACCATCTCATGGGGTGAAATGTTTTGGGGTCAAAATGTATTCTGTTTTGAATTTGTTGATTTTTCTTTAAAAGAGCAAGCATCCCATGGGCCTGCTCTCCTTCTCAGTGAGTCATCAGAGTGCACATTGTTAGCATTCCTTCCTGTAAAAGCAGCCTGCTTTGCCATCAGCTGCCCTGTCCCAGCATAATATTTTGGGAACCTAATCATGATATGTGGGTCCCCAAATTCAGTGCTTCGTACCGCTGGTTGTCCATTGTGCCCCAGAGGTTAACAAACAAACAGACAGACAGACAAATCCCATAGGGAATGATTTGGAAAGCACTGACCTTGGGTGCATTCTATTGTGGAACATTTATTTTGAGTCTTCTTTTTGATCGACTTCTGTCCGAGGGTCCATTGCCATGACAGGCAGCAGAGAGCTTTTAAGTGTTTTTGTGCAAAATTTCCCCTTTTGGGCAATAGACTTGGGCCAAAAAAAACCCAAAATTGTCCACCCAATTGATTCTGACTCATGGCCACCCGAAGGACAGCCCAGAGTGGCTCCCTAGGGTCTCCAAGGCTACCAGTCTTTATGAGAGAAGATAGCCTCATCTTTCTCCCACAGAGTGGCGGGTGGGTTCGAACTTCTCGCCTTGGACTAGCAGCCCAAAGCATAACCCACTCTCCCACCTGGGGTCATTTGTGGTTCCGCACTTTTGACCTGAGACTTTGCTGGTGCTGTAGTGTGTTAATTGACTGCCACCACTTAGCCTGAGAGCAAGGTTTAGTTAAAGCTGACCCCTCTCTGTGCAGACAGATTCAACCTTGAAGAGATCTAAGCACCTTCGTGTAAGGGAGATCAGTGGTTCTCAGCCAAGAGCGTTGTTGCCCTCCCAGGGATATTTGACAATGTCTGGAGACTTTCTGTTCTGTCACATCTGGGTTGAAGGGATTACTATTCGTGGCGCTAGCAGGTAGAAACCAAAGATGCTGCTAAACATACTATGCTGCACAGGGCAGTCCCCTTAACTCAGAATTATCCAGTCAACGTGTCCATAGTGAGAAAGCCTTGTGTAAGCGAAGGGGGACAATTTCTATTTATAGCCAAGGGCTAAACAAGATTTGGGGATGCCTTTCCTACCGCGTGAGGAGGAGCCTCGTTTGTCCTCAAGCTCCAAGATGGTCCTTTATCTCTCCCTTGCCAGATTGAGCGGCGCCTGGACACAGTGCGGTCGATGTGCCACCATTCCCACAAGCGCCTCATGGGCTGCTTCCAGGGCCAGCATGGTACCGATGCAGAGAGGAGACATGTGAGTATCGGATGCCGCAGCCCTGCCCCACTTTCACCCCTTTGATCAACTTGTCTCTTCCAGTCAGCATTGGCAGACTTCATCGTACATTTGCACCTCAAATTGCTCTAATGCCCCTGCCTGACCACATCATTCCTTTATACTCAGGTCATTGCTGGGCTCAACACCCTGCACCGTTTGCACTTCCTCCAGGTGCTTTTAAGGATTCTGTAGGGCATTTATCACTGTAAGAGAAAGGACACCTCCAGTTAAGGGTCCTTTGATGGCAGAAAGCTGAAGCCTACCTTAAACTGACTTGAACAGCAAAAGTAACGTATTAGCTTGGTAAGTGAAAGTGCAGAGGTTGGATGGACGTTAGGTAAGACCCAGTCTAACACTTCAACGAGGTAACAAGAAAATCCATTTCTTCCCTTCTTGCCTCTCTCTTTTTCACTGTTGACCTGCACCAAGATGACACCCGTCATGGTTCTGAAGCTGGTTACCAGCAGTTTCCAAGGGCCACTGGTGCAAGCCCAGGTGCATGCCCAGTAGGAGTAGAGAGCATCTCTCCTAGAAATGTTCTTAATGTAACGAGAGCGCTTCATCCACTCCCCTGCCAGATAGGAATCTCCTCTCATTGCATTTACATGCGTTGAGACAATTCGACTTCTGGACATTCCATTCCACCCTAGTTACCGTGGTAGGAGGTGAGATTGGGCGAGGAGATGGGATGGGATGATAGGCTTATGTTAACCAATCAGACCTAACTCTAGAGCCTGGGCTGTGGTCCCACAACCACCTTCAGGCTTTCTGGGACTGGGAGATATCCCTACGAAAAATGAGGATGTTATTATCGAGAGGAAAAAGAGGGACCATAGGCAGCCAGACCTCTGAGTGTCTATTGCAGAAGACTTTCAGCCACAGTGTTCAGGTTTCTGCGCATTACAGATAGAGCACAGTAACTTCGATTCATTAGACAGTGCTGTACTTGGTTGTCCAGCTTCCTTCCTCCTGAGCACACGCTGATCATTAAAAGCCCATAGAACATAATAGTGTCAGCGGCACACTGTGAGATGTGTGGTACTGTTTACTCAGTAGACTGGAAGGAAGCGCTCATATGCAAATAGTCGGTGTCATCCTCCTTTAATAGTTCCTGCCGCCATTGGTAGGGCATCTTAGAGTCGAGACGATTCTTCTCTTTTACAGTTCTTAGTGTTCCACAGTTCTGTGTGTCAGAAGCAGGCCCAATCTGAAGCCCAGACTGGGTCGGCTTCTCGTGCCTGGCTTTTGCTCTGCCTACCCTTTTACCATTGTTTCCTAAGGGTCTCTCCTTGGTCTCCGTATTCTTGCGCTTTCATTCCCTAGGCCGCCTTCCCTGGTCTCATGGTTCCTAACCAGTGTGTTTGTACATCTAAGTCATTTTCAACCAGGCACACAACTTCCTCTCCTACACGTCTGTTTTAGCATGCGTAATCAGTTTTGTCTCCCAGAGCTGCCTGACCAGCAAGCCTTGTGACTCACGCTGCTAATGCCTTTCGAATTCCCCATGTCCACTCCTCCACAATGAGTGCAAGACCTGATTACCCTTGACCTGCACTGTTGTCATCACCTCTCGAGCTGCAATTCCTTCTCGTCACCTCCTGCCATTCCACATTGTCTTCGGCCTGGTCACTCGAGTTGGTGTCCTGAAATGCAAATCAATTCTCTGTCTCGCTCCTACTGTGCATGTGTGGAATCTTACTTAGTGCTTCTCCACAAGACCAGCATGATACCCCTGGGGATATTTGGAAATGTATAAGGAAATCTCTGATTGCCTTCAGGACTGGAGAAAACCACTATCATTTGGAGAGTGGGGACCAACTGTTGTGCCTGGCAGGGTCACTCTACCCAAGCAGCTGCCCCCAAAATGCCAGTTGTGCCTCTTTTGAGGACCATTGGCTGACTTCCCTTGCTGGGATGATATCCAAGCTCTGTAGCATGACTTCAACCCTTTATCATTGGCTCCTGTTTTCCTTATCAGTCTCATTGTGTTCCAGCTTCCTCTCATTCACACTGCTCCCCACCCACTTAGTGCCCAACCCAAATCACACCAAACCCAACCCAGTGCCAATGAGTCAGAATGGCTGTGGTGACCCCGTGTGTTACAGAGTAGAATGACTCCATGGGGCTCTCTTGTCTCTGATCTTTTGGAAGCAGCTCACTAAGCTTTTGTTTTGTTTTGTTTGGCACTGGTTGGTGGGTTTGAACCACCAACCTTAAAGCGAGTAGTTGAGCACAAGTAATTTTTGATGCCCAGGGACCTTACAATGCTTGTGGAAGCAGCAGTCAAGAGATTGCCTTGGGTAAACCTGCTGCACAAAACCTCTTTATTGTTGTTAAGTGCCATCGGGTTGTTCTGACCCATAGCGACCCTGTGCAGACACGGCCTGGTCTTGTGCCCTCCCCGCCGTTGTTCCAGTTACTATGTCCGTCCAACGCATTGAGGGCCTTCCCCATTTTTTTTTTTTTGCTGCCCTTTCACTTTACCAAGCATGATGTCCTTCTCCAGGGACTAGTCTCTCCTGACAATATAGCCCCAGAGTCTCACCACCCTGGCTTTTAAGGAGCACTCTGGCCATACTTCTTTCAAGACAGATCAGTTTGCCCTTTTAGCAGTCAGTCCATGAGCGTGAAAACACAAAGATGTCACTTGGAAGCCTACGGTATGCCTGAACCAAACCATGGTATTTTCAATCGCCTACTATGCATATGCAATCTGAACAACGAGTAAGAAAAGATTAGAGAAAAATGGATGCACTTGGATTATGGTGCTGACAAAGACCATTGAAAGTACCATGGACTTCCAGAAGAATAAACAAATCTGTCTTTGAAGAAGTACTGCTACACTACACCTTAGAAGCCAGGAGGGCAAGACTTCACTGATGAGTCACTGGCCAAGGGCATCATGCCTGGTAATGTGGAGAAGTAGTGAAAACCAGGAAGACCTTTCCCAAGATGGATTGACACGGTGACTGCAGCAATGGACTGAACATAATTGTGAGGATGGCCCAGGACCAGGCAGTGTTTGTTCTGTTACACATAGGCTTGCTGTGAGTCGAAACCAACTGGAAGAGCCCCAACAACAACCAGAGTTGTGTAAACTGGTCTTCCTTGTAGATTCATCGTATCACAGATGGCATTGTACTTGAAAATAGACCCTGACGTTCTTTTTTTAATTGGGAGTTAATACATCTATTATTCCATAGTCAATCACATCGGGCGGTGTTGTACAATTGCTACCACAGTCAGTTTCCAAACATTCGTTTCTTTCCTGGACTCCTTGACATCATCTCCCTTTTACTCAGCACCCCCCACTTCACCCCCACCCATGCCCCTGTACCCCACCCCACCCCACCCCACATGTTCTTTCTAATGATGAATGTGGCATCCGTTCTGTTTTATTGCGGATGCCTGCCAGTTTTCCTAGACCGATACACCCCGTGGTCTGGTTCTTAATGGATATTTGCAGCTTCTGCATCTCAGTTTGCGTTATTCCCATCAGCAAACGCAGGTCCTGAACCCTTTGTTCCCTCCACATCACTGTGGCCGCCTCTGCCGGGAAGAGGCAGCTCTTCTTCCCAGTTATACTTTCAGTGTTTTCCAACCTGCGGAGCTTACCATCCAACACTCACTCCCACCATGTTCCGCTATTGCTCCTAAGGTTTTTCAGTGGCTAGTTTTGTAGAAACGTAGCCTCGTCCTTCTTCGTAATCTGTTTTCAGTCTGAAGCTCCCCTGCAACCTGTTCACCATGGGTGACCTGCTGCTATTTGAAATACTGGTGGCATAGCTTCCGGCATCTCAGCAACGTGCAAACCCCCAAAGGACATCGCACTGACAGCTGAGCGGGGAACGACGATAGCAGCCAGCATTGTTAAGTACTAGCCACTGGGCGTGCTAGGTACTTGGTGATGAATATATCCTAAACCATGGACACTATTCTCATCCATGTTTTATAGGCACAAGGAACCCGAGACAAGCAGATTGCCTTACTTGTGAGAGTAGGATTTGAATTTAGGATTTTTTTCTCTCCCTTAAGTAATTTGACTAGAAGGAAAAGGTACTGGAATAGATCCTTGAAAATGATGATCAAATAATGAAAAAATGTAATGTTTTCTACTTTCCAGAAAAAACTTCCCCTGACAGCTCTTGCTCAGAATATGCAAGAAGCTTCGGCTCAATTAGAAGACTCTCTCTTGGGGTAAGAGTCGACTGCTTTCCGGGGACTAAGTGTCATCAAGTGGATGGGCTGGTTGGTGTACATAGCAGTCCCTTGTCTGACCAGAGGGACCATGACATGAGCGGGAGGGCGTAGTGCATCCGCCGGGAAGACTCATCCTCCAGGCCCTGCGGAGCCAGTGGGATCAAGGCTGCTGAGTTTCTGGTGCATCTTCCTTTAGGAGGAGCAAGGCCCTCATTGGAAAGCAGGAAGTGTTCCTGATGGAACTCATGGCGAGAGTTCCTCGTTGCTTCCTGTGAGCTTGCGCATGAGGAACCTGGCGGGGTAGTGTCTTGGGCGCGGGTTTGTTCACTGCAAAGCCAGCAGTTTGAAACCACCAGCCCCCCACCTGGGAGAAAGGTGGGGCTTATTACTTCCATAATAATTTACATTCTCAGAAACCCACCAGGGCAGCTCTAGTCTGGCCTCAACGGTCTCTATAAGTTGGAATAGACTCGATGACAGTGAGTTCGGTTGTTTTTTTTGAAAGCTTGAGTGTACGAATCCAGCCCCTTCACCGTTCAGGTTTTGACCTAGATTTTAAAACTTTGGGGTCCTTAAAGGCCATTTCCTTTAAGGAGGGTGATGTCACAGCTGGCTGACTCTCGGTCATGGGTTTCTTTCTGTTTCTTTTTTTTTTAAACAATGGGCATGTGTTGTGTAAATCACAATAGCAACCACCAAGATCTCATCATGAAAGCTGTCTTCCCTCCTTCTCATCCAGCATGGCTGGTGTCCTTTAAGCCTCTCTGTTGTCCCCTGGTAACATGGTTTCCTGCCCCCCAGCTGGACACGGCTTTGGGCTTGCAGCCTGTTTCTTAGATCTGCCACTGTGTATGCCCATCACCCTCCCGTCAGTTGGTGAAGGAAAATAGTTGTTTTCCACTGTTCACTCTTCCTTTATCTCCTCTGTGCTCCCCCAATGGAGGAAGGGCCCTGGTAGGAGGCTCACTCATGTCCCCGTGCTGGCACTTTGGGTTCTTCCAGCCTGCCTGTTTCTATGCGTAGGCTTCCGAGTAGCATTGCCCAATGGTGACAAAAAGAACTTGCAACCTGGTGGCACTGCTTTTACGTGCTTCCCACGTAAGAGCTCATTTAGTGCTCAAAAGAACCTGTTAGCACCCATGACAGATGTGGACGTTGAAAATGGGGAATTGAGTATATTTCAGAAGGCCCCACCCCTGGTAGATAGTAAAGCCTGTATTTGAACTCGCTCAGAGAGGCACCAGAGAGCTTGCAAGTTCTTGCCAACAACACAGGGCCACCTAATGCCAGTGTCACATGCATTTCCAGCTTAGAAGAAAAACCCGCAGAGTTGTAGAAAGGTCTGAGAGAGAGGGACAGGGATGGCAGTGTGCGTAGTGTATCTGTGTTTGTGGTTGTGTAAAATCCACTGTCCGCAGCAAAGCAAAAAGGAATCAAGATTTTCATGTTAGCTGGCCACCCCACTGGCTGCACAGGAGGAAACCAGTTGCTGTAGGCTGAACTCACTAGCAGACGTCAACGAAAATAAGCACGCCAGTGGCTGTGGGGCTCATTTTGAAAAGTGGAAGTCCCCGTGCGTTCCAGGGAGTTGGCAGTGGCTGATAGTTAATGGCATAGATGACCAGCCTTTTCTCCCGAGGCATCTCTGGATAGGCTTTCAACCTTTCACCTTTTGGCTATATCTGACCATGTTTCCCATTTTGCACCACTTAGAGACATCCCTCCACAAACAGAACACAACAGGTAACGAACTTCGGGTGTCATTTAAATGGTTTTCAGGGTACTTTTGAGAATAACATTCCTGAGAGTAATATTCCTTTTTAAATTTTAAAGCATCCACCTATGGGCCACATTTTATGTATTTCTAGGGCTTTACTGTGATAATCCTCGAATGTGTTCCTATCATGTAGAGACCAAAGTGGTTCAGCATTGGTATGCGTGCGCCTTACTGAGTGAACATGTGCTTACTAACTCTCCTGTCTTGTATTTAAAGGAAGATGCTGGAGACATGTGGGGATGCCGAGAATCAGCTGGCTCTAGAGCTCTCTCAGCATGAAGTCTTGGTTGAGAAAGAGATCATGGACCCTCTGTATGGCATAGCGGAGGTAGGCACTTTGCTCTGGGGCTCGAGAGAGTCGCAGTCGGAACGAACGACGTGGCGAACGTGTCACCTGCGCCTGTAATTTTAACAGTTGTCAATGGCTGGCCTGTACACATGTCTATATCAATAAGGCACGTGAATTGTCTAAGAGGAAAACATAATTGTAATAAACATTGAACTTTAAAATGTTAAGCTCGAAGCCTGAAACTCATCCCATGCGGCATGTTGTTCTTAGGTTGAGATTCCCAACATCCAGAAGCAGAGGAAACAGCTCTCTAAATTGGTGTTAGACTGGGATTCCGTCAGAGCCAGGTAAGGTCAAAGGATAAAAATAACCAATTACGTGAAAATCACCCTCTTACGTCTCATGCCCACCAGCCATCACCATCCCCAACGTGGATGAGAGAAAGAACACCGAGTAGGCAGAAGTCATGTATGTGACACACGGACTGAGTCAGCAACCTGCTGACGCCTCTCTTTGGACCTCGTTCTTGAAGTGTGCCATTCTGTTATGAGTGAGGCAGCAATGAAAACAGACAGAGCAAGTCAACGGAAGAAGTGTGTGAATTAGGGATGGGGCCTGGGGACAGTGACAGACGGTTTTAATAGCATTACTGTTAGGATAGTGGCGTTTAGGAACAAACATCTGTCACCTTACACTTTCTAAGGCTGCCACTGTGCCACCCACCCAGAGCACTCATATTTATCCTCTAAATTAAGGTGACCAGACATCCCGCTTTTGGCGGTACAGTCCTGCTTTTTTGGCGTTTTAAAAAATTCCCAATTTTTGGAAAGAATGCACGACAAGCTAGGGAACGGTGTAGTTGGTCCATATAGACCAACTTTTTAATCAAGAACCACCCCCACCCCCACCACCCCCACTCCCGGTCAATGGTGTCCCGCTTTAAATCCGGTCACCTTACTCTACACGAAGACCTGTTGGACCCAAGGAGGAGGAACTTAAATGAAACTAAGCAAGCACATCCACAGGACTGCTGACCCGTGGCTTGTTGTCAGCTGGTCTGCAGCCTCAGCCCTGACCTCGAATAACTGCCTCTCAGTAACATGCGGCCCCAGAGCAGACGTTCTTCTCATGTGTGGGGGGGATTAGGGAATAGGAAGGCCACCCTTGCTGACTTGGATCCATTCTCGGACTTTATCACAAGGGCTGACACTTTCTGTAAAGGGCCCAATAGTAAGTGCCTTTCCCTGGATAGTCCAGATGGTCTCGGTGGAAACCGCCCCACTCTGCAGCTCTGGCTGGAAAGCAGCCCGCGGCAGCACGTGAACGAACGGATGGGACCGGGTCCAAGGAAGCGCTCGTTACAGAGACAGCTCGCACAGTGGGTTTGGCCTGTGGGCCGGCAGCTGTAGTTTGCTGACATCTGGTTTGTTAGATTATTTAATCCTCTTTGCAGTTCTGTGAGAATTCTCTGGGTGGCCAGATCCTTCAGCAGCTGAAAAGCTGGCAGTGGATCCACCCAGAGGCTCCTCAGAAGACAGGGCTAGAAATCAGTTTTGTTTTGTTTTGGATGTGTGTGTGTGTGTGTGTGTGTTTATGGAGGTACAACTATCATTTACTGAATTCCCAGTTCCTGTGTGTCCGATGAAGCCATCCCGGTAGCGCTTCTGGGGAAGTGTTGCACTGCTAACTGCAAGGCTGGTGGTTCAAACCCAACAGCTACTCTCTGCAGGAGAAAGATGAGCCTCTCTACTTCTGTGAAGACTTGCAGCCTTAGAAACCCTGTAGTGCCACTGGGAGTCTGCATTGACTCAATGGCAGTGGGTTTTGTTATGGGTCAGATCTTTTAAATGTGTTACTGCATTTCTCTCTGCAAATTACCGAAATCTCTAGAAAATGGTTGTAAGAATGCTGCATTGCCTTGTTTCTACTAACCCTGGTGGTATCAAGGAGCCCTGGTAACGTAGTGGTTACGTGTTGCTGCTAACCAGAAGTTCAGCAGTTTGAAACCACCAGCTGCTCCTCGGGAGAAAGATGGGGCTTCCTACTCCCATAAAGAGAATAATCTTGGAAATTCACAGGGCCCGTTTTACCCTGTCCTGCAGGGTCAAGAATGAGTCAGAATCAGCTAGCTGGCAGTGAGTTTGAGCTTTTGTAAGATGCTGTGGAGGGACTCTAGGCTTGTGTTCAACTGCTAACCCAGAGGTTAGTGATTTAGATCCAGTAGGCCCCCAGATGGAAGACCTGGCAGTTTGTAACCAAGAAAACCCCGTGGCACAGTTCTTCTCTGTAGCACACGGGGTTGCCGTGAGTCAGAATCAACTCGATGGGGATGGGGTTTTGTTTGTTTTGTTTTGGTTTGTTTTTTGAGGGTGATTTTTGAGTACCTGATGCACCACTGATTTAATA